AACAAGATAAAACTCCTTATGAGTTATGGAAAGGTAGGAGACCATCCTACAAATACTTGAAAGTGTGGGGGTGTCTTGCAAAAGTGGCTATTCCAGCACCAAAAAGAACAAAGATAGGTCCTAGAACTGTGGACTGTATCTTTATAGGCTATGCACATAATAGTGTTGCTTATCGGTTTCTTGTGTATAATTCAGAAATTTCGGATATACACAAAAATACGATAATGGAATCAAGGAATGCTTCATTCTTTGAAGATGTGTTTCCTTGTAAATCGAATGGTGCATCAAGTTCTTCAAAACGAACACATGAAGTTGTGAATCAAGAAAAACATGATCATGACTTGATTCAACAAGATGAACCGAGACGTAGCAAAAGGGCTAGAGTGGAAAAATCATTTGGAGATGATTTTACAACTTTTCTATTAGAAAAGGAACCACAAACCTATACAGAAGCTGTAAGTTCTTCTGAAGGATTTTTGTGGAAAGAAGCAATAAAAAGTGAGGTTGATTCTATTTTACAGAATCATACATGGGAGTTAGTGGATCTTCCTCCTGGTTGTAGACCTTTAGGGTCCAAATGGATCTTTAAAAGGAAAATGAAACCTGATGGCTCTGTCGATAAGTACAAAGCCAGACTTGTAATCAAAGGATACAAGCAACAAGAAGGTTTGGATTATTTTGATACTTATTCTCCTGTTACGAGAATAAATTCTATCAGAATGATTCTTGCTATCGCTGCATTGAGAAATCTGGAGATACATCAAATGGATGTAAAGACAGCTTTCTTAAATGGTGATTTAGATGAAGAAATCTACATGGAGCAACCTGAGGGCTTCATAACTCCGGGAAAAGGAAATAAAGTTTGTAAATTAGTGAAATCATTGTATGGACTAAAACAAGCGCCAAAGAAATGGCATGAAAAGTTCGACAATGCAATGATAACTAATGGATACAGAATAAATGAGTGTGACAAATGTGTCTACACTAAAGAAACAGACAATGGCTATGTCATCTTATGTCTTTATGTAGATGACATACTTATTGTTGGTAGTAATGACAAAATGGTCAAATCTACCAAGGACATGTTGAATTCAAAATTTGACATGAAAGATATGGGGCTTGCTGATGTAATTTTAGGAGTTAAAATTACAAGAATATCAGACGGGGTGGTCTTGAGCCAAACTCATTATGTGGACAAGATTCTGGAAAAATTCAATAAGAATGATTCTGGAATTGCAAGAACTCCATTAGACAATAGTTTCCATCTATCTAAGAATAGAGGAGAGAGTATTTCTCAAGTAGAATACTCAAGAATCATTGGAAGTCTAATGTATTTAATGAGTTGTACTAGACCTGACATTGCATATGCTGTGAGCAAATTGAGCAGGTTTACAAGCAACCTGAGTGCTGATCATTGGAAAGCAATTTTAAGGGTGCTTAAATACCTACGGTACACTCGGAACTATAGACTGCATTACACTAGATACCCTGCTGTTTTAGAAGGGTATGCTGATGCAAATTGGATATCTGATATAAAAGATTCAAAATCCACAAGTGGATATGTGTTCACACTTGCCAGTGGGGCAGTATCTTGGAAGTCTTCTAAACAAACTATTGTAGCTAGATCTACAATGGAATCTGAGTTCATTGCCTTGGACAAATGTGGAGAAGAAGCTGAATGGCTCCACCATTTCCTTGAAGACATTCCAAAATGGGAAAAACCTGTGCCACCAATATGTATTCACTGTGATAGTCAATCAGCAATTGGAAGAGCACAGAATAACATATATAATGGTAAGTCTAGACATATACGTCGTAGGCATAATACCATTAGACAACTACTCTCAACAGGAGTTATCTCTATTGATTATGTGAAATCAAAGGATAACATAGCGGATCCGCTAACCAAAGGATTGAATCGAGAGTTGGTTGCAAAAATGGCAAAGGGAATGGGACTAAAGCCCATGGAAGGCTAAGTGTTATAAAGGAAACCCAACCTAGTTGACTGGAGATCCCAAGATCTAGGTTCAAAGGGACAACCTAATTATAAGGACTTAGCATAGTCATTGTGGGGGGATACCCCTAGACCCATTCCATAATGAAACAATGACGCAAAGGAGAATTAAGGATAGCACAATGGTGTGCTTTAATGATTCTTAAGTGAAGTAATTAATTACTGAAGACTTAAGTAAATCACCTATGTGAGAGTGAAGTGGGGCCGCTTCGAAAGAGAATTGTTTAGGGCTCAATTCTTAAAAAAAAAAAAACTCTTGCTGAACCAGGTTGATGTTCATGGCCAAAACGAACATAACTATGAGAACTGAACAAATGGAGCATGATTCCTGTGTGAAATATATGGTTCATTTACACTAAAAAGCGGGACAGTTCAAAGACATCATGTCTACTGGATTGCTAGTAAAGTAAGTGTATTTCACAAGAGAAGGTTCAATGGGTAACACCAACCTATCTTATGCAGGTTTCAGTCGTGGAACACTACTGTCGAGTCAAATCAAAACAATTTTTCATTCATGTGGGGGATTGTTGGAAAATTGGCTATATTCATTGTAGAGTGAATGAGAAAATTGTTCTCATAATGGCACTCTTGAAAGAATCAAAGGATAATTATCTATTCATGTACATAGGATTCATGTATATTATTCATGATAGGATACATGTACTTGATACATGATTTTATCGTTATCTTATTGAGATACGTGTATGTACATGAATATGGTACTTTGATCAACGTAAAGATAATTATCTGGATTTTAACTCTTGTTGCCAATTTCGAACAGTCACCCTAAGCTAGCATCTATAAATATCTCCTTTTGTTTCAAAAGCAAGCGCGCTCTCTCTCTCTCTTTTTCCTTCTTGCATCTTCATATTTTATAGTGTTCCATATTGCTCTAGTTCGAGTTCGTTGTGGTGAATAAAGTTTGGTGCTGACATATTCACCTTTAATCCGTTGTATCCTGGGAGACAGACGCCTACTCAACCTCGAGCACTCTACCTGGAGGGGGCGAATCTGTTTTAAGGAAATTGTGCTCACAAGCCTCGGATTGTTACTATTGTTATTTTTCTATCTTTACTTTCTTTCTAGGTTGTATTTATTCTTCTCTTTTGTATCAGCCTACTTTATTATTTCACTAACAATCCATTCATTTGCTTCTTTCTTACAAAATTAATTTAACTTACACATAACTAAACGTTATTAGGTTCCATTAGTAATTAAAAAATGTTAGTGAATTGTCCTAAATTTGCTTAAAATAAGAAACAATTTGGAACCAAAATTATTTTTGACCAAAATTTTTGCCAAAAATTGAGGTCCATACTTTTTTTTGCTGAAACTTTAGAACTAAAACTGTACAAGTGCAAAACACTAGCTAAGGAGAAAACCTTCATTTTTTTCCAAAAATTAAAAGAAAATTCAGAAAACTAGGAAATGAATATTGGCATTCAAGAAGAGGTGGGATTTAAGAAGCTAAAGTTTGGAACCTAGAACATCCAATTCCCGTAATCTCAACCTTAACTAATTGTCCAAGGCCTATTCTGCGCATAAGGGCTCATCTCATGAAGAAGAAGGCAAATTATTAAATGCCAATACAAATTTACGGAAGAAAGAGGAGCCGTGCAAGACTGGTGTAGTTGTTTATTTTTGGACACTTTTGAGGTTTTTTTGCCGTGCAAATAATTACCCAAGTCCCTTAATAATTTTGTACCTTCTTTTCAATCATGTGCACCGAGCGTGCCAGTAGACACCCAAAATTCCTGCCTAAAGGTAGATGCCACCCACATAGCTATCATTTCTGGGCATTAATGTGATTTCTTTCAGTTTTTGGACTTAATCTTTGTGTTAAACAATTTATACAGTCATCCTTAGGGAACAAAGCATAAAGTGTTGCATCTCAATCCCAAGTTCAAGAGTGTAAAATGTAGTTAGCCCTTAAATTCAGTCATCATTCTCTTAGGATCTTCTTGGTCAGCTTCTCAAAGCATAAAGAAGCAGGGCCAAGAATCAGAACCAAGAACACACGAGATTTTTCTTTGCTAAAATATTTTGAGAAGGTTGGGCCCAACCTATTAGAACAAAAATGAGGTCTAAATTATTGTACAAAAATCAAAAGTCATCTATTAGAACACCGCAATCCAAATCATTAGACTCCATTAACTGAATCATACTGGTAACTCGTTGTGTGACCTGCAAGTATGATTTGATGGAAACCCAAGTTTCATCAAATTAACTGAGAGGGTAGTGAAGGGTGAAGAGCAGAGCCACTCCAGAATGCCAAAGAGACACGGAGATTATGACAAAATTTACGCCAAATGCCGAATATAAGAAATCTTAGATCACTCGTGAATCAATAGTTGGGGCAATCATGATGAAGAGAAAGAAAAGACCGACTCTGATGCTCCAATTGTAGATTTGTCCGGTGAAAAATTCTACAACATTTTTCTGCAACTGAATGGCAGCTAATTTGAGAAGCGAAGAGTCTGAGACAGCTTACCAAATTGACTACTATAACCAGTTGATATATACTTTCAAGGGTTCCCGACTGAGCTTTAAGCCTACAGTCCCTGCAAAACAGAAAACTCGGACTCAGGACTTCACCTAGCAAATCATAAGGCTAAATGGGAATTGCATGACATTTTTGTTTAGTCAATTATTCGGAAAAGCTCAATCAATATTTGTTTTCGTTGTAAGCACATATCAAATCTTTCTGCTCAGTCAATAAGTAAATGATAAGCAAATTGATAAGCAAATGAACTTTTAGCGTGCTTAGTTGGATGAGGAGCTTCTAGATTCAAAATCTAAGGCAGGCATGTTTGCCAGCATTGCAATAAAGATAGAAGAGCAATTTCCATGTCATTTTTGAGCTGGGAATCTTACACAAAGAAAGAGCTTCTTTTTGTTGCCTTTGTTCGAAAAGTAATAAGCAGGATAGAAGACTTGATACTAAGTACAGCTACTTATCCATTTAGAACAAAATCAATAACCTGATGCTATTTCTAGAAAATTTGCAAGCTTCTCACGATCAATGTGTTTCTCTATCACCAACCAAACCTCTCAGGATGATCACCAGAAATTCACGTTAATGATGTCCTTGATCTTGAGAGACTTTACATATGTTGGGGAAAGAAATTTTAGCGAGCAGTTCATAGAGGCCAGCTGAAAAAAATAGAGCATCTTATCAAGTTTTAGACACTAAGAAGAAAGAAAAGTGTACCTGTAGTGTGCCATCCTAGTCATTTCTCTCCAATTGAAACAGGATCTGATTCAACAAAGTTTTCAAAGGTTAAGAGCAGTTGTAGATTCCAGTTGACGTTTGAGCCTGATATCATTGCACAACAGAAAACTCGAACTGGGACAATATGTGGTCAACAAGAAAGCTAATGAGAAAGTTCAGATAATTCAACAATACTTTGGTTCTGTCAATCTCACAAAAGGGTAAAATGTTTGTTTACAGAGTTGTGTTTACAGTTATTCCTATGACCATTACATTAGTTTGGTTCCGACCGCAATGCAACGCAAGTAATTACAACTTAAAAACTTGAAAATAATGATAGGCACTTTTCGTAGCACATGCAAAGCATCCCATATTGAGGCATTGATGCACAATAGAGCTATGGGACAATGAGGCACAATAGAGATCCACATTCAACTACTACCATAACACTGGGTAGATCTAACTCCTAACTACAAGCAGCATGCCAGAGATGACAAATTGAGTTCTAAAACATGTAAATCAGCACCTTATTATCATGACAACAAATGTCTGAATCATTTGCTAGTTTAAAAGCATCAATGAGGTTCCCTGTTGAGCTTTGGGCCTAAAATCACTCCAAAGCACAAAAACTCAAACTCAGGATGGCATATAGCGTAGCATACAACTAAAGGAAAATTTCAATAATTGCAGGTTTTCTGTCATTGTAACCAAAGCCCCAAAAGAAGAAATTTACCATACAAATACTAGCAACCAACAATCATAAAAACAGAGAGAGCTTGAGAGCCTTTATCAAGGTAGGTTCACTAAGAGCAGCAAGTAGCAACAAACAGGCTTGACTAACTACCAGAATGCTCCAAAACATTCCGCTTAGACTTGAATGTTGGAAGATACTCCACCAAGTTTTGTGCAACTTCATTGCTTGAACGGTACATCTTCCTTGGCTAACTCAAAAATATCTTCAGGACGACAAGATTTCTTTTGTTTTGTGGATATCAAAGTGGTTAAAAGTCACAATTGAGCAATGAAAGAAAAGCATATCTAAAATTACCAGAATTTTTGAACCAAAACATGAAAGCGATGACCAACAGCTGCGAATAATCCTTGGTTGACCATAGTCTTCATGGCTAGAAAGTCAAAACCAAGGAAAAGAGACTCAGAAAACCATCATATATGACTCTGATAGAGCAGTTACTAATCAAATGGTTCAGATAAGTATGTAAGCTCATTATCAAGAGAAAAAAGTTCAGAGAAACCATTTCATTCCCGTAGAATCACAAGTTTAAACAGAGTGAGCTGACTTTAGCAACAATAACTTACAATCCACGAAAGCAGACATGTAAAATCAATAGAAAAAACTGCTGGTTGTTTTAAACGTTGATGGGCTATTTATAGGAAATGCAAGCCAAAAGTTATTGAGTTCCAGCCATATAGATCGTGCTGAAGAAGCTTCAAAATTCTAACATCTGTTTGTCTAAGCAAGAGACCACCAAAATCAGTTTGGAAAGTATTGAAGACAGGAGTGTGGTCAGAATTGTAATTTAAGGACATATAGAAAAAGTTCCTCAAATTTTCTACATACCCTATGGAATATAAAACGCATTTGCATTTTAAAGAGAACTCATTTCATCCTGATGCACATCGTGAGTTTAAAGAGAGAGCTAATCTTAGAAATCATAATGTACAACTGATTGGCTGACATACACGATAAACAAAGTAAAGTCAAATCTTAATTTCTTTTATATTGTTACTTGATTAGTTGATTTGTTTCATTTTTCTTTTATGCAAAACTTGCTTTGGTCATCCAAGAAATATGAAGACATGTAACCATCGCATATTGATGGTAATTTTTATGAACTACCTATAACTTTGAATCATGATTCTGAAACCTAAGAAAGACATTAGACAATATTGAAAAGAACCACTACATGCAATTCTTCATTTTTGGTTAAACGACTACCAACATAAGATGTAGTACTCAACATCATATAGACCAAGTAATATTGGAATAATAACAAATCTTAAAGTAACAGAATCATTCTAGACATGCCATTTTTAACTGCAAAAAGAGAACATGAAAACTCAGAAAATCATGTAATGGCGCAAAGATACAGCTTCAAGAAAGGTGGCGAGCAACTTGTGGAGGCTGACTAATGGAGAATAAGCAGTCACAAGACGGACCAATACTTTTTCTGCAACTAAGTTGCAGCTAACATGAGAGACAAGCAGTCTGAGATAGAAAAACAAATTGAGGTCCATAACCAGTGAATTACTACCTCATGTCATGACCACAAAAGCTACAGCTGATTTACAGTTTTAATCACCACATTCACAATGTAGATCTCAGGCTTTGGCATTGTTTTCTAACATAAACTGGTACGCAGATGTGAATCTTTCTGCTTAGTCTACAGATATAAGTAGTGTCACAAGAACTATCTCCTAGTTTGTGTCCGAAACTCTGAAAGATGACCAGTTGAGTAATTTAGAAAAAGAGATGCAAGGTCAGTGAAAGCTAAAGAATCTTCATGAGGCGAATTCCCAGAGCAGCAACCAATACATTCTGTAAGGTCATTGAAGACACACTTTGAAGGTACTTGAGGTAAACCTATTTTTAAATAAATCATTAAAAATTAGAAAATATAGAAGCAAGAATTATTAAAGATGGAAATTTAAGATAAATAGGCATTTTTTCCAAGTAAAGTTTGTTACTATCATTTAATAAAACCTTTTGTAATGACATCGAAATTACACTTTGAAGGTAATTGAGGCAACTCTCTTTTAAATAAATCGCGAAAAAGAAAATGCTACTGCTGATTGACAGTTTCAACTTTGGAGGCAGCATATTCACAACAACAAATCACAAGCTTTGCCAGCTAAGACATGAAGAATAAAAAGACTGTGCCCAAATGTGATCCAGTTAAGAATCAAATGAATTTCAAAAGTAAAGGCAGTAATACTAATTAGGGGCCAACAAGGTTTATCCAATAAACTGGAAACATAATTTAGTCGTTTAGGAAGGGACCATATATACTGAGAAAATTCCAGCACTTGGTTTTCAATATCAAAGACCTCGAATCTTTTGGTGATTCTTGGAGTAGAAATCAAAACTTTTTTGGTAAAGCACTAAGTCATAAGAGGTTTTCAATAAGAGGGTTAAAATAGTTTTGATTAAAATAAAGTGCAAATTATACTTTACCCTCCTGTGATATAGTTAATTTTCACATTACCCCCCTATAGTTTTAAAAGTTATATATAACATTTTTATAGTTTGGACTAAAGTGTTAAAGTGACGGAAATAATCATCTGTAACGGAATTTATGAAAATATCAAAATTACCAAAATATAGAAATATAATATGCATGACACTCTAACCTTGTATGGTTTTATATTTTATCATATAACTCCTTTATAATTTAGTACTTTACCATATAACCCTCTTATGATTTAGTGCTTTACCATGTAACGCCCTTATGATTTTCAATATATGTACATAACTCCCCTATGGTTAATAAATAATTTTCAACTTTACATAGGAGTATTTTTTATATTTTAGTTGTCTCCATTATGGATTGCAAATTCCGTCACCTTGATACTTTAATCCAAATCATGAGGGAGTTATGTATAGTTTTTGACACCATGTGAGATTACGTAAGAAAACGCTAAACTACAAGAAGGTACAGTATAATTTATCCTAAATTAAAATATTAAGTTTTTTGTTATAGTTAACCGGTCGTAAAGTGTAAGTTGGTTATTTGATTATAAGGCAATTTATATTATATAAAATGGGAAAATAGAAAATCTTTTTCACTTCTTTCCATCCATATGCCTTACAATGTATCTCTTTTTTGTATTTTTTGGTTAAAATATTGTATCTCCTTCTCACTACTTGACCTTCCCTTTTCTTTTTTCTTTTTTTTTTTAACTTTGTTCCTATTCACCTCTGAATCACCCATAAATTAGTACTACTCAAACCCAAAATCTTATGACCCAAAATGACAGCATCTTCAAAATTTCAGAAATGGATGGAGTGCTTGATCAACTTCTTCATTTGTGCATATATGATATTTCTGTCCATGGCGCCAGCATTATTTATGCCAAGTAATTCCGTGCGGTGGCTGCTTGCGGTGCACAGGAGCGGTTATATGGAGAAGATGATATGAGAAAAGACAAGTTTGTTTGGATAAGAGTTTATTTGGATGATTTATTTGAGATATTTACTGTAGCACTTTTTGTGATGTGATGTATGTGAGATAAAAATGTGGTTGAGAAGATAAAAAGGTGATTGGGATTTGTGAGGCTGACAGGTGTCGTGTCTGTGCAATAATAAATACCTGCTTAAGAAAAATAAATTTTCTGTGTATAATAGTAAGCAGGGTCGAATCCACAGGAACTGGGAAAAATTTGATTCTTTTTAAATTCGAAACACGGGGGATTTTTATCAAAATGAAATTAAAAATAAATAATTAAACAATTTAACTAAAAATAATTAAACAATTAATATAAATGTAAATAGAAATTTAATAAATAATAAATAAATTCTAGTCAAGGATACAACTACGCAGACACTGTCTATTCATCAGATCATTGATGCACAGGGGTTCACTTAATTTAATTAATAGGCTAGTTATAGTCGCCGATAATCTCTAACGACCAGTTTTTCCTTAATTTATTGATAACCAAGGTACAACCGTTGATTACCCCTAACCAGGAAATACTCCTAGGTACGACCGTAGGAATTAATTTCCTAATTGCCTTAAAAACTAGAAAAGCCTAACCCAAATTAATAACACGCTACGAGGGTTATTTAAATTAGATTGCATGTTCCCATAGGGTAAGAAAACACTAGTTGCCACTAATATTAACCAATTAAACAATTGCAGATTTAATTGATTAATTTGACAAGAGATTAAAAAGTCAAATTGCACATCGGGCCCTTGATATCCAATTAACAAAATAATCCCATGGAAATTCAAATAGAAAACATGCAAATATTAACAAATTAAGGAACACGTAAAAACTAATTAGATCTCACATATATTTGGGACTGCGTCTTCGCGTTGATCCTTGACTAGAGGAGAAAATTAGCCACGCCTCATAAGAAAATTCCCACACAATTTAATTGAATTCATAGACATAAACACTCGCTAATAATTTAGAATAAAACTTTGAATCTCCGTAGACTCTTTGAAGAAAAATTACATACCACACAACAAAAGAAGGAACAAGTTCCTTCTTACACAAAAGACTACCTATTCTCCTCCGGAGCTTCTTTGGAGAGCAAAACTAAACTCTCCAATGCTGCCAGAAGCACTAGCTAAAAATAGCTCTCCTCCGTGAGCCCACTAGTCTAGTTCTTCCTTATTTTATTGGAACACTAAGTTCCACAAGAGAACTAGTTACGTAGGAAGCAAATAGAAAAGCTACTTTCATCATCAAAGTGGCTAATGAATACATCTCCCAAAAGAAGGACAGACTTTCTAAATCAAATAATCAATCCATCCACTTTCTACGTGGTCCCCTGACCTTTCTTCTTTTGATTTCTTATTGGTAGTGGATTTCATCAGACCAAGTCAGTTCTTCATTAGCAAAAAGGGAAGGAAATCCGTTGGTTTTGCACAATGTGGGCTAGTTGTGTAAAGCTTTCAGAAGCTTTCACGTGTGAATTAATCTTCTCAAGAAAGTCCCCCTTTTTAGTAGTTTTCTACTCCATTCCCTGAAATTAAATCCAAATACCAAATATAAGTAAATATTAATAATTAAAATAATATTTGGCAAGGACAAAGAGGAAAATTTACAATAAAATTGCTAACAATTGACACCCTATCAGAGGCAAAAAAATTTTTTCCAAATTCTCTTTGTCCAAACAAACTTGATCGTAGTTTAAAAATTTATACCCTGTGATTTGGTGTTTTACTACATAACCCTTCTATAGTTTAAAAATTTATATACAACCCCTTCGTAGTTTGGATTAAAATGTTACCATCATTTTTTCCCATTAAAACTAACAGTCAATAGCAAAAATCAAAGTCAAACTAATAAATAGACAAATTCACCTTTTCGCTACATTTTTTTCCTTTCTTTCTTTTTTTCTTTTCTTTTCTTTCTTTCTTTTTCTTTTTTTTTTGGAAGAGAATAGATGATTTAAAATTTGTACTTTAGCTTATAAAATTTTAATTTTCTTCGGATACAAAAAAAGGAAGGGAAATGAAAAATAAACAATTAAGAAATAGAAAAGATGGAAGGAAAGTGAAAAAAATAAATTAATAAGAAACCAAAAATGGAAGGGAAATATAAAACAAATAAATAAGAAACAAAAGATACCAAATCTTTATTGGCTGCAAATATCATTATAGGCTTTTAGACCAAATCTTTTATGGTATTTTCTATTTATTATTTATCTATTTTTACTTAAATTTCTTCTTTTTTGTATTTGGAGGAAAAAAAGGAAAGTAGTGAAAGAGTAAATTTGTCAATGTATTATTTTGATTTTGATTCTTTTTTAACTATTGATAACTTTGATGGAGAAACTAACGGTGACCCATTAAGTCACACCATGAGAAGGTTATATATAGGTATATTAAGTCAAATCATGAGGGCAAAAGGTAATTTGTCCTAATTATTATTTTGTTTGCTTAAAATCTTTGAGAATTTGGTCAAAGTCCAGAGACCACAAAGTGATAATTTCCATACTACTTATCAGGCTGGTTGGTTCAGTATGGAGGAATATGTGTACTGGATGATGTCCACCTCAATAATCAGACTCGGTCATACATCATGTAATTGGCCACGAATTGGATTCTTTTCTTTGCATTTTAACTTGTGAAAGTTGTTCAAATATTCTCTCGTACTTTAGGAAGTCTTCTAAAGCATCAATGATACTTGAAAGAAGAATTTAACAACTCATATCTTAGACCGTATTCTTCTATTAGCCTCCTATCCCATTTATAATTAGTTTTCACACTCAATATGTCTTGGTTAGGTTTCATGTGCAAGATTAAGTGTTGAAAAAAATTTGAAGAGTTTGTTTAACCAAAGTACAATATGATTTTCCCAGGGAAGCTGCTTGGCCTTTTACTGGAAAAAATTTCCCAGGTCAATGCAGGGATTCCATTTTTTTTTTTTTTTTTTGAAGTGGCTTGTTTGTGTTGTCATCCTGCACTTGGTTTTGTGAATTGGATTTTGACTCTTGGCTAGCTTGTTCAAACTCCCGGAATAGAGAAAATACCAAATTGAGGGCCGACTTCTACTCTGTGTATTATCAGCAATCAGGTTTGGTTAGGCAGAGCCAAAGAAGAAGGAAGATTTACAGCAACTAGTAGGCATTGTTCTGAAGCCGCGGATTAAAACGCATACACAGAGTCATGCCAGTAAAGAGAGAATATCTGAGAGCATTGGCAATCAAATATCAGAGGGTAAATTACATACAATCCCCATGAAATTTTGAATAATACCACATTTCAAAATAGTCATGCAATTCCATCTATATATATGGCTATAAGTGATGTCCTGAATCAAAAAATGATGGAGGAAACTGGACTGTGACGTGGGTTGGTAAGAGAATCAGATGCGT